CAAACTCAAAGTCACAATCAATTAAAACTGCCACCTTCTGAAGCTTACAACAATGCATTTCATTCACCAGTCTCACTGTGTTTTGCGCTCAGGCTGAATAGATGAGGCAACTGGAGTGCAATACATCTTTCAAGTTTTTAACAGAAACATGGTTCTCTGCTATCTCCCAGAAGGGAGATTCTATTTGGTCAACTATTGAGTGTGGAGATTTGTGGCAGTCAATGATACATATTGTTTCCACCTAAATTCATTTCATGTGGCCCTGGGAGTTCGGAAATCCAGTCTGTGGTCATTTCCTCTGATTTTTCAGTGTTCACCTTTCCCTTTGCTAGGCAGAGAGGAATTTATCCAGGCAGGGTCGGAGCTGAGGCCGTACTGGGTTGCCATATTGGAAAGGCTTGGCCAATCTCTTGTTAGTCCTTCAGGGCTCTAAACTATTTGCCAGGGTTCATTCTCTGGGTTAGTCAGGAACTCTAAACTTTAATTCCTCTGTACCATAAGACAGTAGAAAATTCAGCTGTTTTTCAGAGGTTTTTGACATAGCTGTTTAAATGTTCCTCCTTACATAAAAACGTTTCAAGCACCTAAGAGAAAACTGCTTTGTATCAGGATCTCAACTGATGTTGTGTTACTTTAGGTCTGAAAAAATAACGAATTTCTGGACTTTTCCCCGTTATTCCCTACTAAGGGGCCTTTTACCAGTTTCACGCTTGCATCCAGAATTAGCAAATTACACGAGGTGTGGTAGCTCATGCCTGTAATCCCGCCTCTCAGGGAGGAAAAGGTGGGAGGAAAGCTTGAGCCCAGGAGTTCAAGACCTGCCTGGGCAATACAGCAAGATCCCATTCTCCAGAAAAAGGGGAGAGGGCAGATACAAGCAAAAAGCAAGTGTAACTCCCCTCAGAATCAGCACATTCCCTGAAGGAAAAAGCAACTTCAGCTCAACTTCATAGTTCTTCACTATGTGGAATATGCTTTCTTGTCTTTTTGCTTCAATGGCTCTGTGATCTGTTATACAAATGTTATTTATTTAGAGATGGAGTCTCACTCTGTTGCCCAGACTGGAGTGCAGTGGTGCGATCTCGGCTTACTGCAACCTCCACCTCCCACGTTCAAGCAATTCTCCTGCCTCAGCCTCCCAAATAGCTGGGACTACAGGTGCATGCCACCACACTTGGTTAAAATTATTGTATTTTTAGTAGAAACCAGTTTCGCCATGTTGGCCAGGCTAGTCTTGAAGTCTGACCTCAGATTTGCCTGCCTCTGCCTCCCAATGTGCTGGGATTACGGCGTGAGCTATCACACCTGGCCGATTAGATTTCTAAAAACTATTCTATCTTGCCTGAAAGCAGAATTCATAACCTGGGTTTGAGTCAAATTTGTAATAAACGTTGCAGATTTTGCCGGTGTGGGTCGCTTCATAGGCAGTGTCCCAGGTAGATTCACCATGAAACCAATGTAGCATAATTTCACAGCCTATCACTTGCATAGGCCCCTTCCAAGACCCGGGGGTGGTGGTGGGGGCGAGTCCTAGCCATGTGTTCATATAAACATTTGTTTTTGTAAAATCTGTAAAAATGCATTTTATCCATAATTCACTGGGGGCACCTTCTTTCCATTCCAGCTTCCCTCTGTCACAGTTCTCATGTCAACTGTCCCTGAAATGGCCGTGAGAGTTTTCATCATCTGGCTAAGGGAAAGTGTATTAGAGGTATAATTATGTGGGTAGAGTCATTTATACGGGGAAGTACGTTACTGTTAGCCCTCCTGGTGTAGGAATGGTTTCCAGGAACCCTCAGACTTTGACACGGCCTGTTGACACTGCCAACTCAGCGGCAGCATGCTCTAAGGACAGAGCCTGAGGAAGAGGCCTGATGAGGTCAGGTGCCACGCCCCTGCGTTGTGAAGGCAGTGCACAGCCATAGCAGATCTCATAGACGTGAAACTTTCTGCTCATCAAAAGACACTGGTAGGAAAATAAGTAGGCAAGGCACAGCCCGGGAGAAAATAACTTGCATCTCTGACAAGAGACTTGTAGCCAGAAAAAATATATATGTAATTACTCTTACAAATAAATGATCAAAAGACAAACCATCCTATTTTTTAAGTGGGCAAAAGGTTTAAACTGACACAAGATGTTAAGATTCATATTAAGGAAAATGTTAGGGAAGGTGTAAGATTATAGTCTCAGAGTGGTGGTGATCAGCGTCTCAATAAGAGAAGATATATATTCAATAAGCACATACAGTAGGGCTCACAGTTATTAGCCAATAGTGGAATGCATGTTAAACCATAATGAGAAATATCTGCACACCCAGTAGATTGGATAAAATTAAAAACACAGACAACATAAAATGTTGGCAAGGATCTGAAGCAACGAGAACCCTCAAACCACAGTTAAAGTGTAAAATGATATCTCTACATGGAAAATTATTTGGACAATTGTAATATAGCAGTTATACACCTTAATATCTACCCAAGAAGAAGGAAAACACATGTCCGCAATAGAGATTCTACAAGAATGTTCACACTAGTCCCATTAATCATAACCCCAAACAGGAAACAATAAAAATATTGATTGGCAAAAGAATGAATAAACAAATTACGGTGTATTCATGCAATGAAATTATTGGCAATAAAAAGGAAAAAACTACTGATAGATGCACTAATGTGGATGAATTCAAAAACATTGTACTTGGTTGAAGAATCCAGAGGAAAAAGTTTACATACTATACGACTTCATTCATAAGAAGTTCCCGTGTAAGGGAAGAGTGCGGTGTTCATACTGAATACCCAACGTGTGTGGAGATACCGGAACTCGAATGAGATGGCCCGTCTGGTAGTGACACTGGTGCACACAGAGGATTGAGGAAATAAGTAAATATATTCAGAAGCCAGGTTTCTTCTAGTTAGATAAAGAAAGCATAAGTAGGAAAAGTAAGAGTTGCATAACCCTTGTGAATTAGATTGAAATGGAAGGTATCACTGTGGACTCACGGTGTTTAATACAGGTAGATAAGTGGACACAGAAAGAAATACAGTGTGTCTGTGAGTAAGTGTGGGTATAAAATAATAATGAGCCCACCACGTGCCTAGATCTGAACTGAAACAAATTAGGGTTCTTGGGATAAACAGCTGATTTTAGGCACCTGTTGTGCTTAAAGTAAGGAAGTGCCTATACAGCGAAGGAAAAATAACGAGAGGATGCCGGAGCTGGCCTGCATTGGTTTCCAGTAGCCGAACCTGGAAAAACTTCAGCATAAAAATAAAGATAGCAATAGATTACAACCAACTGAATGCAAGAGAACCATTAGTCCCTACTGCTTTAAAGCTGTGAATAGGGCTGGGCGCGGTGGCTCACGCCTGTAATCCCAGCACTTTGGGAGGCCGAGGCGGGTGGATCATGAGGTCAAGAGATCGAGACCATCCTGGTCAACACGGTGAAACCCCGTCTCTACTAAAAATACAAAAATTAGCTGGGCATGGTGGCGCGTGCCTGTAATCCCAGCTACTCAGGAGGCTGAGGCAGGAGAATTGCCTGAACCCAGGAGGCGGAGGTTGCGGTGAGCCGAGATCGCACCACTGCACTCTGGTCTGGTTAACAAGAGCGAAACTCCGTCTCAAAAAAAAAAAAAAAAAAAGCTGTAAATAAGTAAGTCGGCATTTCGTAGAATATAAATCAATAAATACAGAGGAATCGTAGAATTAGAAAATCATCCTCATTTCATAAACATAATAATTGATTCCGGTATGAATAAATGAAATGCTAAATCTGAGGGTAAAATTTCAGCAAGAAACATCATGTCTACATGGTTTCAAAGTAAGTCTCTACAAGACACAGCTCAGTTAATAAATGCAGAACATTTACTGATTTTATAGCAGATAAATTTAGCAGACACTTCATAAACCAGGTAATAAAAGTCAGAATCTCAGTTGGGTGCAGTAGCTGAGGCCTATAGTCCCAGCACTTTGGGAAGTCGAGGTGGGCGGATCATGAGGTCAAGAGATTGAGACCATCCTGGTCAAGATGGTGAAACTCTATCTCTAATAAAAACACAAAAATTAGCTGGGTGTGGTGGCGCACACCTGTAGTCCCAGCTACTAGGGAGGCTGAGACAGAAGAATCGCTTAGACCCAGGAGAGGCAGGGGTTGCACTGAGCCGAGATTGCCCCACAGCACTGCAGCCTGGCGACAGAGTGAGACTCCATCAAAGACAAAAAAAAAGTCAAAATCTCTAATAATGAGACACATTGACATCAGATGCCTGTAAATATGATGAATGAGAAGATTACAGTATTTCTGTGGTATCCCTGCCAAAAACAAATAATGAGGAAAAGTCAAATGCCCTAAATTGAGGGACATCTTACTAAGTGACAGGTCAACATTCTTGAAAATATCATGTCATGGAAGACGAGGAAACGCTGAAGAACTGCTCCTTATACACGGAAACTAAAGAGACATCACAATGAAATGCCTCACTGAACTGAGTTGGATCCTAGACAAAAGGAAAAGGGTGATTATGAAGGGCACCCCCTAAGACAACCGACGAAATTTAAATGTGATGTGTAGATTAGACGGTGCTATGCAATCCTGTTTCCTGCTTGTGATGGTTATGCTGGAAATGAGGATGTTCTTGTTTGGGGGATATACACTCTGAAAACTAGGGGCAGTGGGCATCAGGTCTGAAGGCACAAATGCTTCAAGAAATGTGCACATGCACATACATATTTATGTGTGTGTGTGTATATATGTGTGTGTATATACGTGTGTATATATGTATACATACACACACGTATATACACACATGTATACATACACACATGTATACACACATGTACACACATATATATGTATGTGCATGTGCACATTTTTTGAAGCATATATACACACATGTATACATACACACACGTATATACACACACATATACACACATATGTACATACACACATATGTATATAGAGAGAACTGTAAAACAGGACTTGATTCTTTGTATTGCAGGTTTTGTTTCTTTTAGATTTCTTACGGCAACATGGAATTAGTTGAGGAAGTTACTTGGACGAGCCTTATTTGGAGAAAGCTTTGACATGCCCTTTGATTTCTTAGAATGCTACCACTCTCTTCGGACTCCAGTACTAAAGGTTTGTTTTAAACTTTAGTAAAATTTGGTCCTTATCCCATTTCCATTTCTCCTAGAAAAGTTATTCTATCCAGTCTTTCATTCTTTTATAATATTTATCTTACAGAAAACACTTTGCCCTCCTGGCTACTTGTAGAATTTGGTTCTAATATTCAATATATATTCTATTTTAAAATGCTAATAAGTAAATTTCTGAAACATAAGTCCTAGCGGTGAGAAGGGAGGCAGGAAAAAAAAAAAAAACAACAAAAATACAAAAAAAATAAAGAAAAGTGGAACAACCACATTATGTCACCAGTTTCCTGACACATTCCATTTTAATCGCCCTAAGCCTCAGTTTCTACATCCGTAGAATGAAAATAGTGAATTGCTCTCTCAGAGGGCACTTACGAAGACCGAGTGAGATAATCCTTTGAACAGATGGCACATGTCTGGCTAATAACAGTAAACGCAGGAGACCCTTCCCTACTTCCAGAACTTGCCTAAGTGGGCATCACTCAATAATTTGTAAGTTTAAGAACTTTTGAATAATTCCCATTTATGCATTATTTGTTCATTCTACAGAATATTTATATTCATATTTTTTTGCTTAGTTCTTTGTTTTCAAACTATACTTTTGTTTATTTGTTATTTAAATTACAAGCTCTTGGCCAACCTCAGTGGCTCACACCTGTAATCTCAGCACTTTGGGAGGATGGGGTGTGTGGATCACTTGAGGTCAGAAGTTCGAGACCAGCCAGGAAAACATGGTGAACCCCTGTCTCTACTAAAAATACAAAAATCTACCTGGGTGTGGTGTCACACACCTGTAGTTCCAGCTATTCAGGAGGCTGAGGCAGGAACCTGGGAGGTAGAGATTGCAGTGAGCAGAGGTCGCACCACTGCACTCCAGCCTGCATGACAAAGCAAGACTCTGTCTCCATAAATAAATAAATAAATAATTAAAACCTTTTAGAAAACATTGTGAAAATCAAAATTCACACACCAGTACAAATTTTCCCCTCAGCATCTTCACCCTTATTCCTGGTCTTCTATTCAGGGGTAACCACTACTGTTACATTTAAAAAAAAATCAAATACATGTGAAGTCTTCATTTCTTTTTCTTTCCAGTTTTACTTCACATCCCATCTGCCTCTTTCTCCTCTTCACCCTCCTCCTCCTCCTGATACTGCTATCTGCCTCTCTCCAAGTTATTCTTGTTCATTATCTAAGAAGCAGCCTTTCTTATTATTCTGGAAAAAAAAGACAAAAGTCTTTTGTTATGTGATCTCACACAGACACACAATTCAGAAAATCATATTTAGGGTGCTGTAAATAAGTATTTTATAAAACTGGGACCATGTTTTCTACCTTTTTTGCTTATTTGCTCACTCAGAAATACCCCAGGAAAATATCTCCAAGCCATCGGTTAGACCTATAGTTCCCTATGTTAGATGGATGCGTATTATTCTATCCAGTGAATACATTAATTATTCAGAAAATCACCTTCCAGAAACCACACTTTTCTCTATCTTTGGTCATTAAAATTTCTCTACAATAAACATCATTGCCCATGTGTCCTTACATACTGTTAGTTTCCCTTCCCTGGGAAAGACTCCCAGGAGTAACAGTGCTACATTGAGAATATATGTAGTTTATAAGAAACTGTTGCCATAATTTCTCACCAGAAAGCCTATAACACTTTAAATATCCACGTTATCTGTGAGTAACTTTCTTCTTTCATCCACTTTAGCAATAAAATCATGTATCCTTTTGTTTCTGATCTGGTGACTACGGAGAGCTTTACCATCATTACTTTAATATACCCTTCTCTCAGAAGATGTTGAACTAGAAAGAATATTTCTATATTTGATAACTTGGTCGTATTTCCTTATATCTATTGATGATTTGAATGTGGCATTCTCTAAACTGCCTATGTAATTTTTTTTCCTATTGAGCTATTTCTAGTCATTTTTTTCAAAATTGTTAAAAGTTTTTTCGATTTAATAGATACCAAATATTTTTTCTATAATTATAAATATATGTCTTCTAATTTTATCCATCTGGAAAAGAAATTCAAATGAATCTGCATATTACAGAATATAAAAAATAAAAATATATTACATTATGGTGGATTAAATACTGTACTACAAATAAACTTTAAACCAGGCAATTTAAGGGGCCGGATACTATTCTGAACTGAAGACCTTAGAAACTAAGACTGAAAACTCAAAATCCGTGAAAGAAAATATATGCTACATATATTGGCTGTACATTAAGTTTTTAAAAATCCATTTTATGTAAAATATACCATAAATCAAATTAGTAAGCTCTTTTCTTGAGATAAGTGGTAGCTTATTTTCTGACATAGAAATCAAAGGTTTAGGAACATGACCTTGGATTGTGTCTTAACAGATTTTACACATAAAATAAAAAATTTCTTCCCTTGGCATGTGCAGCTGTGATTTTAAAAATAATAATAACAAAAATAAAGACCTCTTTCCTGATAGAAGTCATTAATTGGCTTTAAGGAACTCATGAAATAGTTTACAGAAGAAAACGAGCTGCAATTCAATAGCACAAAATTCCATTTTTCTTTGATAAAAAAGTATTTTAGTCCCTATTGTCATTCCTTTTGCATTACAAAATGTTGAGAATTCAGCCTCTAGAGAAACGATTTTGCTTAGCAAATCAGTTTCCAAAGAGGAACATCACTTCATAGAGACCTCCTCCCTCTCTCCTCCCACTGGGTATGCCGTTAACCACTATAAACTGTGGGGAAAGAGTTTTGCAGTTCACTGACTGAGATTTCTGCCCGAGACCAAACACTAAGATCAATAGAGAAAATTCTTCTATCCATTTTGCAAAACTGACTGGAAAAAAGTCTCCGAAAATAGCAGCTGATACCCTAAATTCCAAGTGAGGTGATGCTGCACGCTGCATTCTGATCATGTGCAACATTCATCCTTATTATTCTGTAGTTAACTCTGAGTAGAGGCTTCATGACTTGCTGCATATTGAGTAGAATTTAAATAAGTGAAAAAGATTTCATGAAATCAGTTATGTAACTAAGTATATGAAGACGTTGTATCTGCGCACTTCAAATTAGTCCTGTTTGAACTCAAGGCTTCTGAGACAAAAAAATAAATGAATTGATCTATCTCTACAGCTTAAAATGGACGTAAGTAGAATACGTTTCTAAAACTTACAAAATAAAATTACGTTAAAATTTGAGTGTTCTAAGCATTCGGGTCATAGTCCGTTTGTGGTTCAAATCTCAGCAAAAACCAAATTATCTGCTGGAAAAATCTGACTTAGCTTCATCTTCTATGTGCTTTATTGTCATACATAATGGGACTTTGAACATATTCGTAATCTCTGTGGGAAATATGAACTTTAGAGCAAGTCAGTCTTTGGTTCTAATGTTCACTTTGCTGCTTACATGCCCTAGGATTCTGGGAAAGTAATACCTTTGAGCATATAAATTCAGGTTTCTACCTACAAAATTAATCTTTTATAAACAGGAATCTTTTATTTTACAAACTTCCGTGTACAGTGTATCAGCGATGTGGAAAAAATGGTCCTATGATTCATTCTTATACTCCAGCGAAAGGACATTATTTGGAAATCTCTCTCTCAGAGATATGAGAAATTTTAAGAAAGCATAGGAGTAAATAGTTTTTATGCTGTAAGGAAAGTAGCAACCCTATAATGTTACAGAAAATAAAACTGATACCCAAAGCTATTAACCAACTCATCCAATTACACAGTGACTTCCGCTGGCACGTTTGGGACTAAAACTCTTGTCACCTCTCTTGTCTTGGTGTTTATTCCACAGTGCAATTTAAGAGGATGCTTCCAAGACTCTGTTGAACCTCATCTTTTTTAATGTTAAAAAATATATAATGAAAAAATTCAAGAGGGAGATGACACATATAAGGTCAACCAGTACACAGGTAAGAAAGGAGGTAAGGCTGTGTGTCCATCTGAGCAAGTGTTCTAAACTAGGGGTTAAAATATCCTAATGTGACCACGGATAAACGCTGTAAAGTTTCCCTCAGCAGCTTTCTAAAATTCTCTCACATTAACTTCTGTTTTTATCCAATTGATTGCTATGCTCTCTTTCTGATCTGCTAGGTATTTCACATAATTCAAATGTTTTGCTAGTCAGTTGAACGTTTACTATTCAAAATGAGAATAATTGTATCTGGAGATGCTGGCAATGTGATTTTATTGCAAAGCAGAGAAATCTACCACCTTTAAGATATTAGCCACAGTTGCAAGCAATTGGAGCAGGTGTTAACAGGTAAATAGTAGCCTATGGGATATAATCTTAAAGATGCAGATAAGGACTTCCTGGTTTCTGTTTTGTTTTGCTTTTTAGTTGTCAACAAGCACTTTAATCCTAAAATTAGGGACATAAATCAGAATTTAAATTACTTAAACTGTCTGAAATACAAAAGGATACCACATCTATTTAAAGATATCCTTTTAAGAGTGGATAAATATTTGAGGTAACGGTGTGTGCAGAAGATGAGTAAGAAAGACAGACGTGGGAATTCAGGGCTGTGAAATGTCCAGCTTCTTCCCCTCACTGCTTTCTGGCTGCATCATTGTTACTCAGCTCCAGGGCTTCCTACTAGAGTGATGAATATTTCTGCCTCCTTGTGCCTTACTCCAGAAAGTGAGGGGATATTACATAATTGGATACACTAATACATTAATGACAAAGCAGTTTATTTCTTTTGTGAGGACTGAATCTCAGAGTGAGGTGGTCACCTAGTTTAAGAAGAGTTAACTGATTCTCTCCTGTAATCCTCAGTGAGAGGGCTTTTTGGTGAGGCAGTCTCTTAGTTGAGTTCTGAGGAGGAAAGTCAGACAGAGGGCCTGGTCAGGAAGGAAGGGCCCTGATCCGTGTTAAAGGAGAAAGCACATATAGTGTCTTTAACAGTGAGATACCTCCCGAGCAATAAATGAAGGCAGACCTTACGATTTATCCAAGCAGGAATGCGTCTGAGAATAGGAGGGACTCTGGCAGTGACTATGTCAGGACAGCAGGGGTACATTCAGCAGTCTGAATAAACGAGTATTTCAGCCATCCCAATGTGATGAGTTTGAGGGGATCTCTTCAACACGTGTGCACCTCAAAGATACTGACATATATGAAATCTCTCTTTAACTGATGCCATTTGTCTCGTTTTCTCTGATTCCTGCACTCCTTGGCAACACACACACACACACACACACACACACACACACACACACATTTTACTAGTAAGATACAAAATGCTCCTACAATCCATCTTTTGAAAACTCTTTGTACAGTCAGGCATGGTGGCTCACGCCTGTAATCTCGGTGGGAGGCCGAGACAGGCGGATCACGAGGTCAGGAGTTCGAGATCAGCCTGGCCACCATGGCAGCCTCTACTAAAAATACAAAAATTAGCCAGGATTGGTGGCAGGCGCCTATAGTTCCAGCTACTCAGGAGGCTGAGGTAGGAGAATCATTGAACCTGGGAGGCAGAGGTTGCAGTGAGCCGAGATTGTGCCACTGCACTCCAGCCTGGGTGACAAGAGCAAGACTCCGTTTCAAAAAAAAAAAAAAAATATATATATATATATACATTCAGACTGAATTTTAAGGAATTATCAAGAGAGCTAAAAAATTAAATTTCTTGTAATATTTTCATCCTCATGGCCATCAAAATCTTAACTAAAGCAACGCTAGTCTGAAAGTAGAATACAGAGAATAAATTGGTCAGCAGGTCATTAAAAATATAAAAGTAATGCCTGCTTATTAGAAACTTGAACAAAAAAATAGTTAAGTGTATAAGTAAAGTCTGCTTTATTCACCCCCATTTTGATTTCTGAGGGGTAATAGTTTCTTCTACATTATTCAAAAGTAGCTTTTAATTTATATATTAGTATGTATATTATACTAATATTATGTTCCTTTCTTAAACTGATGGAATCATGCTATACAAATGTTCAGTCACTTCGTTTTTTCACTTAAAAATACTTTTGAATATCATTTCATATCCATATCTGACTACAAATCTCAATTTTCTTTTTAGGTGAGAGTGAGGAGACATTTTTTAGGAAGCTAATGGTTCTAAAATAAGTAGAAAAATTAAAATTCACATTGCCAACACTATGCTGAACATGAACGAAATTGAAAAACAAATGTTCTAACATTGATAAAGTAATACAATTATGAAGTGTCCCATTAAGATTTTTGGGGGGATGAATACATGTTTAGCTGGTAGAGTTGACATATTAGTCCCTCCAGGAAATTTATGAGGCTAAATTGCCTCTACCCAAAGCATCTCAGAGTTCCTGCAGAACTGTTGTAGTTTCTCCGACACAGCTGTGCATCTATATGCCAGGCACTATGGCAGGCAATTCACACTCAAGATCACATTTATACTCACGCCAGATGCTGACTATGACCCCCTGTCGTTAGAGTTGATGGCTTGTGGGTTAAGAAGGAAATCAGAGTCATTTTCATTGGTAACCCTAAGAAATGTAAAGTTCTAGAAATCGTAAGTAATTCCTCTCTGAGCACCTCAGACCTTGGATCGCTGCAGCTTCCTTTCATCCACTCTTCTCCGTTTCTAAAGGCACGAGTCTAGGGTAGGCCTGTGGGTTTATACCTCACATCATTTATACTTCACATCAAGGCAACTTAGAAAAACATTACGGTAGTCCTCCCTTCTCTGTGATTTTGCTTTGCACACTTAGAAAAACATTACGGTAGTCCTCCCGTCTCTGTGATTTTGCTTTGCACACTTAGATAAAGATTACGGTAGTCCTCCCTTCTCTGTGATTTTGCTTTGTACAATTTCGGTTACCCACAGTCAGCCATGGTCTGCAAATATTAAAAGGAAAATTCCGGAATTGAACAATTCATAAGGTTTAAATTCATGGCATTCTGAATAGCCTGATGAAGTCTTGCGTTATCCCGCCGAGTCGTGGGAATCATCTCATTGTTTAGAGCAGGAGTGTCCAAACTTTTGGCCTCCCTGGGTCAGATTGGAAGAAGAAGAATTGTCTTGGGCCTCACATAAAATACAGCAACACTACAATAGCTGATTTTTTTTTAAATCACAAAAAAACTCTCATGATGTTTTAAGAAAGTTTACAAGTTTGTGTTGGGCCACATTCGAAGCCATCCTGGGCTGCATGCAGCCCGTGGGCCTGTGTGGACAAACTTGATTTAGACCATCCACCTGCCTGTTAGGCACTTAGTAGCCACCTCGGTCATCAGATCGGCAGAACACAGGAGGGGTGAGTACACTAGAATAAGGTGTTTCGAGAGAGAAAAAAAGAGAGGACTCCACATTCACATAAAGTTTATTACAACAAATGGGGGTGTTGAGCTGTTATTGCTGTTCCGTTTTATTAGTTCCTGTTCTTAATCTCTTACTGTGCCTAACTTATAAATTAAACCTCATTCTAGTTGCGTATATATTAAAAAATAGTATCTATAGGTGTTGGTACTATCCACAGTTTGAGGTATCTATCCACTTGGGGTCTTGGAATGTATCCCCCATGGATAAAGGGGGACCACTATATTATCTTCATTTTACAAATGAGAAGTGTGGAGACCAGAGGGTTAGAAGCATTCCAATTTAATGAATGTAACTGATTAGAGAGGGTAGGGACATGAGCCCAGGCCTCTGAACTTCAAATATCATATTATTAAGGAATCTTTACAAATTCTGTGAGCTTCCAAAACAAAAAGGATACATCTCCTTAAACTGTGTCTGGATAACTTACTGGATACTGTCTACATGGCTTTTTTGAAGGTGGTAGAGTAATGGGAGGTGGCTTTAATTAATTTTAACTGATTCCCACAATCAGGGAATCTCATTGGCATTGAGGAGAAATTAGAATGGATTCAAATGGCAGGAAACTGTATCTACATCCACCTCACAGTAGATATCTAGGTAGGAAGAACGTGAAAAATACATTTACGAGCAGTAAAATATCAAAGGATACATTATGTGAATTTGGAAACTGAAAATATGGCTTAAGATTCTTGAAATTCACTTTGCTAATATGGTGTTACAAATGCATAAACACTTTTGAAATACTCAGATAAGTATTTATACCTTTATCAGCACTTTTTTCACATTATTAATACAATCAGTCTGTAAATTTATGTAAATCGCTAGCAAAATGATTATAGCTGACATAATCAATAAATGTGTTTATTAACCTTCTGACTTCTCATATTTCAGAGAACAAAGAGTTGAACCATTTAACATGAATTGGATAAATGAGAGTGTCCCTCAGGAGTTCATTCTGTTAGGTTTCTCGGATCGACCATGGCTAGAGCTTCCCCTGTCTGTGACGTTCCTGTTTTCCTATATCTTGACAATCTTTGGCAATCTGACAATAATTCTTGTGTCACATCTGGATTTCAAACTCCACACCCCCATGTACTTTTTTCTTAGCAATCTCTCACTCCTGGACCTTTGCTACACCACAAGTACAGTCCCACAAATGCTGGTAAACATATGCAGCACCAGGAAAGTAATCAGTTATGGGGGCTGTGTGGCCCAGCTTTTCATTTTCCTGGCGTTGGGTTCCACTGAGTGTCTTCTCCTGGCCGTCATGTCCCTCGATAGGTTCGTAGCTATTTGTCGGCCTCTCCAGTACTCAGTTATCATGCACCAGAGGCTCTGCCTCCAGTTGGCAGCTGCATCCTGGGTTAGTGGCTTCAGTAATTCACTATTGCAGTCCACCTGGACACTTCAGATGCCACTGTGTGGTCACAGAGAAGTGGATCACTTCTTCTGTGAAGTCCCTGCACTGCTCAAGTTGTCCTGTGTCGACACGACAGCAAATGAGGCTGAACTTTTCTTCATCAGTGTGCTGTTCCTTCTCATACCTGTGACACTCGTCCTCATATCGTATGCTTTTATAGTCCAAGCAGTGTTGAGAATCCAGTCTGCTGAAGGCAGACAAAAAGCATTTGGGACATGTGGCTCTCATCTAATTGTGGTGTCACTTTTTTATGGTACAGCCACCTCCATGTACCTGCAGCCACCTTCACCCAGCTCCAAGGACCGGGGAAAGATGGTTTCTGTCTTCTATGGAATCATCGCGCCCATGCTGAACCCCCTTATATATACACTTAGGAACAGAGAGGTAAAGGAAGCCTTGAAAAGGTTGGTCGCGAGAGTCTTAATCAAGAGATGAGACATACGCAGATGATAAGCTTTGCCAAAGACATAATGCTTACTTAGCTTACTAACTTCTCTGCAAGCTGCCCTGTTTTTTGTTGTTACTGTAGAGAACTATCGTAAGCTCCCTCAAAGAAAATTTCCTTCACAAAAAGCTGTATTTGTTTCTGTGGCCTAAATATTTTCTTGCCAGGGTGTTAATAAAAAAGTAAGGAATTCCCAAATGGTAGACCTTTTAAAGACTTCAACTTCACAAAGCTTATAATTCAATTCTCTCCAAATCGATTCATTATCATTATTCTTAAAAAACTACTATCGTGATCTTTTTTTTTTTTAGCTGGAGTTTCGCTCTTGTTGCCCAGGCTGGAGTGCAATGGTGCGATCTCGGCTCACCATAACCTCCGCCTCCTGGGTTCAGGCAACTCTCCTGCGTCAGCCTCCCGAGTAGCTGGGATTACAGGCACGCGCCACCGTGCCCAGCTAATTTTTGTATTTTTAGTAGAGACGGGGTTTCACCATGTTGACCAGGTTGGTCTCGATGTCTTGACCTCGTGATCCACCTGCCTCGGCCTCCCAAGGTGCTGGGATTACAAGCTTGAGACGCCGCGCCCGGCCCTTATGGTGATCTTTAAATAAAATGTCATCGACAGAGAGCCACGTCTGTTTTCTACTGCCTAGATATATTCATTGCACAAGTCTTGAAACTGGTCTTTTATGAACTCTCAAAATAGGATAGCCTTAAAATCTTTAAGGTCTCAAACATCATACCGCTGGTCTGTATACATGGGTAAGAGTCTTAGGCGTCTCTGAAACCAAAATAAAAGCTTAGAAATCTTTTCCCCGGAAATAAAACGTTTTGATACGTGTACAATGCCCTCATCCTTTCACACACTCACACAAACTCCATGGCACAAATCATTTTCAGACAATTGTAGATCTAACAGAAGTATCCAAACACCTTATCTTAATTACAGCTATAACGTTAACAGCTCTACTTAAATTTTAACACTACTCACACATCGACACGATACTAAAATCCACAATGATTTCCCCTCTCGATTTTACTTAGATCTTCTGCTGTTTCTGTACTTCCCACTTCTAAGTTGAAATGTCCTAGTCTAGCTACCAAATAAAGTTGTAGCTACATTTTAGACTGAAACCAAATGCCTGCTACTGACCTTTTAAAACGATTCCTCTACTGTGTATGTTACCTCCCTCCTTTTAACCTCAAAAGCCCTTATAGGTTAAGTCATAAAAAAGCACATTATATAATGATGTCCACTGCTTGTTTAATGCAGACTTCTTGTCCAAAAAGAAATGCTTATTAATTTCATGTTAGTGCCGTTGAGGCAGCATAGATCATAATTTCAGCTTCTTCCATACGACCTTCAGACCCCATAAAAGTGCTAAAGAAAATACACGCTATAAATTGGTTATTTGGTTGATTTTGTGACTTGTTACAGTGTAATTAGAATAACTGCTTCTCAATATTATTTTTTTCCAATTTTTTTAATCAAATATGTCCTAAAAGCATAAAATGCAGTAACTACCAAATACAATTAGAACATTTTACTTGAAAACCTTACGATAACATCATAGATTTCAGCATAATTCTAATGCAACGTGGTAGATCTTAAACCTTTAACTTGCATCCGAATCATCTGTAGGGCTTTTAAAATTCGGATTGGTGGGTGTCATCTACTTCCAGATGTTCTAATGCAGTAGGTCTGGGGTGGGGCCTGATTATTTGCATATCTGCAGATTTCCAGGTGATATTGCCTGTCAGGAGATCACCCTTTAGGAACAGCTGTGCTAACAGTTAAAATAAATAAAGGTATGTTGCTTGCTGAGTTTCAGCAATTATAAACGAGTTATAATTTAAAGGAAAATAGGAGCAAAACACTAATAGAGTATATTGAAATATGAGGGGACATTCCTTAAAAAAATGCATTTGTATATTAAATTCCAATTAAATGATATATCAGATTTCCAGTGACAAATTTTGATGTCAGCTCAAAGGCAATGTCAGTGTCCTTTAAAAAATTATGAGAAAATACTACAGAAACCAGAGTGATGGAGATTGAAGTATTTTACATTTTTAAAATAAGCCATTAATTGATCTCATAAATTGCATATTGCTAAGTTCTAAAGCCATATGACAAACTTTTATAAATATTTTGCCATCAGTTATCTTGCAACTATATACATATATATATTCATTCTGGCTTCATTTAGAACAACAAATACTAAATTAACTGTTTTATAGAGGTAGAGGCTGATATAGTGGGGGAATGTTATATATGTATAAGAATTCTTTTTTTTTTTTAAGATGGAGTCTCACTCTGTCACCCAGGGTGGAGTGTGGTGGCACGATTTTGGTTCACTGCAACCTTTGCCTCATGGGTTTAAGTGATTCTCCTGCCTCAGCCTATGGAGAGTAGCTGGGATTGCAGGCAAGTGCCACCACATCTGGCTAATTTTTCTATTTTTAGTAGAGACAGGGTTTTGTCATGTTGTCCAGGCTGGTCTCAAACTCCTGACCTCAGGTGATCCACCCATCTTGGCCTCCCAAAGTGCTGGGATTATGGGTGTGAGCCACCACACCCAGCCTATAATTCTTGATTTCTTTTTCTTTTCTTTCTGTTTTTTTTTTTTAAAGTAATTTCAACTTTTATTTTAGATTCAGGGGTACATTTGCAGGTTTGTTACCTGGGTATATTTTGTGATTAAGAATCTTTTTTTCTCATCTCTCTCTCTTTTCTGTGTGAGCTGCAGTCAGATCCCTCTTTGCTTGTCTCTTACAGGGATTCACGATGGCATTTAAAACTCACCCAGATAATCTAGAATAAACGCTTCCTCCTGAGATTCTTAATCACATCTTTCTCCATATAAGGTAACATTTGCAGATTCTAGTGATGTTCATGTAGACATAGCTTTTGGGAAAGGCTGTCATTCATGGTACTGTGTCATCTGTATCATTTAGGGCTATACAGTTCATCATCTTCCAAAGAAAAGAGCATAATATTTACTTTTGAAGGATCTGATTTTTAAATTGTAAATTCTTTTTTTTTTTTGAGACGGAGTTTCGCTCTTGTTACCCAGGCAGGAGAGCAATGGCGCATTCTCGGCTCACCACAACCTCCGCCTCCTGGGTTCGAACGATTCTCCTGTCTCAGCCTCCCAAGTAGCTGGGATTACAGGCATGTGCCACCATGCCCGGCTAAATTTTTTTGTATTTAGTAGAGATGGGGTTTCACTATGTTGGTCAGGATGGTCTCCATCTCTTGACCTCGTGATCCACCCGCCTCGGCCTCCCAAAGTGCTGGGATTACAGGCGTGAGCCACCGCGCCCGGCCTAAATTGTAAATTGTTAATGAAATTAGCAAGAATCCAACTTTATTCCTACTCCCAGCATCATTGCTATCTTACTACCATGAGAATTTTAAGCTGTTTTCCTGTTTGAAACAATAAGCACACAGATCATATCATTTTTTGTTACATACAGTGAGTTCACCATGGGGTAGAAGTTGGTGAGAAAACAAAACCTTCTGTGCAGATATAAGAAATTGACATCGTTTTTGAAAGTTGCACGAATATTAGCACCATATGGATTGTGGAATGATTAGGAAGATAATGCAGTCTGTCTCTCTGTGTATGACACAAATTACAGTCATATTTATAATATTTTACTTTTCTAAATTACATTAAAAATAACAGTCATATTCCCATAAATATGTCATAGATTTTTTTTAAACATCATTTCCGGTACTAAAATGTGCCCCAAATTTGCTCCAGTGGAAAGGCAAAGATCATCAGATGGATAAAAAAGCAAGACCCACTGTATGCTGTCTATAAGGAAGGTACTTTAAATATAAGGACACAGGCCAGGAATAGTGGCTCATGTCTGTAATCCCAATACTTTGGGAGGCTGAGGTGAGTGGATCACTTGAAGTCAGGAGTTTGAGACCAGCCTGGCCAATATGGGGGAACTCTATCTCTACTAAAAATACAAAAATTAGCAGGACACGGTGGCATCACACCTGTAATCCCAGCTACTCAGGAGACTGAGGCACTAGAATCAGTTGAACCTGAAAAATGGAGGTTGCAGTGAACCATGAAATGTGCCACTGCATTCCAGCCTGGGTGACAGAGATAGAGTCTGTCTCAAAACAAACAAACAAACAAACAACAAAAAAACCCCATATATCTGTATGTGTATGTGTGTGTGTGTATGTATATATTATGATGCATACAAGTAAATAATAAAGGTTGGAGAAGGTAACCACAGTAACAATCAAAAGAATTGGCTATATTATTATAAGAAAAAGTAGATTTCAGAGCAAAGAATATTACCAAGAATGTAGTCATTTAATAATAATAAAGAAACCAACCCATCAAAAGGACATGTGAATCTTAAACATTTATACATATGATAACGAAACTTCAAAATACATACAAAGAAATCTGGTAGAGATGAAAGAGGTATGCACATCATGGTTACAGGTGATCTCAGCACCCTTCTTCAATAACAGAACAAATAGAAAACCAGCAGGCATGTAGACTTGAACATCATCAACCTAAGTGATCTATTTGACATTTATGGAAGACTCTACATAGCATCAGCAGGATATACATTCTTCTCAAGCACACACAGAACGTTTCCCATGATAATGGGAATGTTCTCGAGCATAAAACATTTATCAGTATAGTTAAAAGGATTCAAATCATAGCAACATATGTTCCCTCACAAGTTTTGTTGTGAGCATGAGATAATTTCAGTTCAGTAACAGATGTTTGCTTCTATGCCCCACGGTTTACATTCCAAATTTCATGAATTCTAAGATGCACATTTTTTCACATTTACTTTCTCTTAAAAATTGCTGTTCATCTATAATCTATGACTTCTACAGTCACTGTTGGCCAGGTGACAATCACAACATAGCTGCTATTGCAATGTGTGAAGTTCGCTGTCACCGCTGAGAGCCTTGCTGGATGCCTGGAATCCTCCATGTTTCAGTCAACAAATGATTTTAGGACCATTTATGGAAGGACTAGAGTCCGGGCTATATCCTGAAAACTTTCTGTTGATACTGTGAAAGGAAAATCTGGGGGCCCCAAAATTACTACGCTAAAGAAAAAAGTCAAGCGGGGAACTGCTCAGCACAAACCCTCCCCGTTTAGTTTATTCAGCCCCCTGCTCGCCAAGGTAGATGTATATTCTGACTGCCTCCTTTGGGAAGGCTTACCAGAAACTCAGAGAATGCAACAATTTCTCTCTTACCTACCTGTGACCTGGAAGCCTCCTCCCTGCTTGGAGTTGTCCCCACCTTTCTGGATGGAACCACTGTACTTCTTATATATATTGATCGATGTCTCATGTCTTCCTAAAATGCATAAAACCAAGTTGTGCCCCAACTACCTGGGGCACATGTCATTAAGACTTCCTGAGGCTGTGTCATGGGCGCGTGTCCTCAACCTTGGCAAAATAAACTTTCTAAATTAACTGAGAGCTGTCTCAAATTTTGGGGGTTCACAATACTTTCTGAATGTAACAGCATTTGCATTTGCAGAGTAGGTAGAGTAACTATTACTGGCTTACAGGGAATACTGTAACGGTTCAGAAATATAATGGCTCAGCACAATTCTTGGAACGCCTCACTGAGTATCTGCTGTAATAATGTTTCAAATATTATCGTCCCTCAGTAGCAGGTAAAAACTAAGACTCAGATTGACACTTTGTAACAGGGAGTTCCAAAACTTGAATTCTGAACAGTACCTCCAAATTCCAGTTATTTGCCGCGAAACCACACTTTTCACATGTGCTAAAAGTGTAATTTTATTACAACTTCGTTCTGAGGAACGACTTACGCT